GTGTAGCATGGACCGGTTGCAGGAGCTAGGTACATACCGCTCAAAGAGTAGCCAGGACTGGCGTGTAAGATCGCGCGGACGATGTGACAACATCGCACGGTCGATATGCTCTTTCAGGCAAAATGCCAAGATTGGTAAACGCACGCGGGGGTATATAGTCGTGGTTTCCAGGTATCACCCTCTGCCCCCCTCCTCATCCTTCTCGTCATCCCTCCCTCCATCCTTCCCCTCCGCCCCTCTCTAACTCCCGCGCTTGATTCGTTGCTCTTCATCACTCCTGGAGCTCACCCGTGGGATTTATTCCGATGGTGGGGGCCACATACCGGGAGTGGGAGTACCAAAGTTGCGCAGAACCCAGCCAGACGTTGGCTCCCGCTCATGCCATTGCGCAGTTCTTACGTATATAAACCCGCCGGCCGCCTATATACTACATATGTATTATACTTATTATTTTAATCATGATTTACGAGCGCGGCGTTGCCGGTTCTCGCGCTACGGGCACGCCCATTCCCTCCCTCGTCTCCACTTTTCAGCCATATAGGCGAATACATAGAAACGCGCGGAAAAGCAACGTCGCTTGATCGATACTTGAGAAACTTGCAATAAAAAAAAATTACTATAGCGAATACATTTCTTTGGTAATTCCAAGCGCAATAGTATATAAGTTAAAGATTCCTTACGCGTTTTTCTCAGTATCCCAAATGATTCATCTCCCTCTCGTATCTTTCTTTTATTAGAACAATTTCCAAAATTTTATTTTACAAATACACGATATTCAGATACGAGCGTTTATTATTTATTCAATGTACATTCCGAGCTTGTTAAGTTTTATAGAGAGAGTTCTTGTGTAAGAAACAGTATAGAGTACAGTACATTGAATACTTGGTTGATTAGGTCATATCGCATCGAGCAATGCGACGTTGCCATTGCGGCCTTGATGGTACCTAGTTTTACTGCGCAGCACGTTGGGCCAGTCGTTTTGGCAACACTGGAAAGTCGTGGCAATCTATTTATAGTAGTCCTCTAACGCCGCTGTTGCTATGCCGAACAAAAAGCATATTTGTTTCAGAGGAGGGGATGAAGAGAGGTGGGGGACAAATAGAGTAGGGGAAAAGATCGGTGAGCGTAGGCGGTACGAGAAGAGGGGATTACCGAAAGACCAATATGGCGGCGGAATGGATATATTCTCCTCCAATCTATCTGCGTTCTGCTATAACTCGCGCCTTTCCCCATCTTTCTTCCGTGTCGCCGCTCTCTTTCTTTCTTTCTTTCTTTCTCTCTCTCTCTCTCTCTCTCTCTCTCTCTCTCTCTCTTCCCTGATTCTCTATCGCCGCTCGCGATAGTGGCTCATCGTATTTCCTGTACCTCACGAAAGTATGACCATGATGATAGTTACGCAACGCGCGAGGTATATACTACTCTAGTATGCGCGCGCGAGCGGAGTAGAAGGCGGACGAATTTCGCAACAAAACGTTAATAAGCATTTCCTTCTCGCGGCCGACAAAGAGAGTCGATGGAGACCAGATGAAGGTCACGCCACTCGCGTGCCGCTTTTCCACTTCTCCTTCCGTGGGGGTGATCGCGGAAAGTAAAATAGAGCAAGCGTAAAGGGAGCAAAGGTCGCGAAGTGAAAAAGATCCAGCGCGATATATGAATATATCGCACCCGCCGCCGGCCACCATCCGCGCGCGCTCTCCCATCCTTTACGCGCGCATTTCTTTTTTTTCACATAGCTCACGCGAAATTGCATATGGCGCCGTTCGCTCGTAGCAGCTGACGAGGTTTGCGGGGCGCTGCACGCTCCTACGCGATACCGAGAGCACGCGACTTGCGAGAGGCATAGCGCGTTTGCCACGAACAGCCCTCGGTGACGCTCGGCTCTCTCCGATCCGGAGTTTGCCTCTTTGTTACATCACTCTTCGCTCCTTATGTAGTACATAAGGGCGGATACATTATGTATCGTGTGCGGGCGCGCGGGATAGGGGCCGCAATATGTCCCTCCCAGCTCTCGCTCCGGTTGTACATAACGCACACACGTATGCCGCGTCTGTATGTTATATGTGGTGTAGGTGCATACGCGCGAGCGAGCCGGCTGGGCGCACTCGCGCGGCGAGCAAGCCCCAGCTCCGCGTTACACGATGCGCGGTTACACAAACAAGCGCCGGTGCGTTCCCGGCACATTGCATTATTACATAGAAACACGGCTGCGCTACGCGAAACGATTTGATGGCGAGCGGTACGACGTATGGAAAATTCATGCTTTCGTAATAATAGCGCGGGAGACGCACCGCAAGGCAATTTCACGAAATTTAAGAGCGACAACCTTCGCTTTACTTTGCATGACAAATATAAAAGAAATTCCTATTCTAGGACTTCACCATATTCTTTTATGTCACTCTACAAAGCGTACTTGCATTGTCCACAAACGTATGGATGTTAAACAAGTGAGGCACCATATATATATATATATATAAATATATATATATAAATATAATATATATGTATGCATGTATGTGGAGAAATTAAACTTATACCCCAACTTAATTGTAGAGAATAAGTGTTATAGTATTGGAACTACAATATTCCAGAAATTTATGTGCGTATTTGCAAGTTCCGTTACTTGAAAAATGTACAAGAAATATAACCTTTTTTGATGCTAAACTTTTTAACTTCATAGTCGTGGAAAAAGATCACACTATGTAACGGTAAAAAAATTATATATGTTATATTTCTGTTATGTATGTACATGTTAGGATTCGGTGAAATACCTGATACGACTTATTTAAAATATAAAATAAGTTCCAGAAGTTTATTTAACGTATAAAAATACCTTTTATATTAGTAAGAAATTAATTTCGAAAATTTATTTAAAATATTAATTATATTTTAAATAAAAAATATGTATTTTAAACATTCTAATACAAAATTGTTTTTTTATGATTTTGTTTTTAAAGATATACAATAAATTTCAAATACTTGTTTAAAATATCAAATAAGATATAGATCAGAAAAAGTTATTTAAAATAATAAATATTAAATAACTCTCTTATTTTTAATTTAAAATTCATATTTTAAATAAAATTATTTTAAATATGACCGACATCTAGTAACAAAAATATAACATATAATTTTTTATATCAATGACCCATGCATAAGAAATATAAGCGGATAAAAGATAATACAATCGTACATATATGTGCATGTAAACTGATTAGTATATACATCGTATATACCGATTCAGTATACAGGAATCTAAAATTTCTGCACTATTGTACTTTTCTTCTCTTGGAGAGTTGAAATATACAGTTCTTTTTAGATTCTAATACCAATTATTCTTT